TTAATTGAAATAAAAATTATTTGATTCAAGTAAGTATTTGTTTGATATAATAGTCAAGTATTTTGAATCAACTATTTTTTCAGTGTAGTAATATAATATTTTTTTAAATAAAAATTTTGGTCTCTGAAAAGGTTATATTATACAAACGGAACTGAATTAAAGTAAATTTTATATGTATTATTCGCAAATAATAAAAAAAAAAAAAAAAAAAAAACTGCAGTCTGTCCCGATATTTAAAAGCTGCAAAGTGCAGCTGCCCAAACAAAACGTGTCTGAAAGATGACAATAGAAGCATGGGGACGAACGATATAGTCAATTGCTATAAACGAAAAGAAATATATATATATATATATATATATATAAAGTTCAAAATTCCCATTCAAAGCGTATACATAATTAAAATTTTCCACTTATAGTTAATTTTTTGAAACACAAAATTTTAAAATGTGCATTTTTTGAAAATTGTTTCAAGATAGCTAAGCGAAAAATGATATTTTTGATCGTTGCTTAAATACTCATGCAATACTAAATGCACCATATTACGCATATTGCTCGAATGCACTGAGGACGCATTGAGGCCTGTAACTTAATTTAATACAAAGTGACGACAGACATTCTTAGTCAGACTGTCTCGACCCTCCCGACTTTTCCACTAATACACAACCCTCATGAAACGACCTGTATATATAGACAAGAGACAGCGAGTCTCGGTTCATTAGCAAATAACCAGGGAACTTGTGTACAGTCTCAAACATTTGACGCGTGTTCAATTTTCATATATAATATTCTCTCTCGTCTGCTAAACACTTGGTACAAAAAAAAAAATAAATAAAATTACATACATTATTTTTCAATATTTAATTCCCCCTTTGAATTTATTGGAAAAAATTTTTAACAAAAAACATTAATTTCTTCATTTTTTTTTTTTTTTTACTGAACTTTAATAAATTCATCACAAAAAGATATTATCACTAATTTAAAAGTAAAAAAGTTATTTCAAGAGAGCAGAGCCAAAAATTCTAATAAATAATTGTTAAATATAATAATATAAGGGTTAATCTATTATATTTCACTTTCACAAGTCGTTACGGGTCTATTTTTAGAAAAAAATTAATTAAATTCGTAATAATCATTTTCTATATCTGTACAATTATTTAATGATTTTTTACACATTAACCTCGGAATTTGAATGTTAAAGATGAGTTGCACGGATATCAAAAACAATTATTACGAATTATAAAATTTTTCTATAAAAATAGTCCGCAACGATTTTAGATGAAACGTAATGAATTGACTTATAAAAAAAAAATACAAATAAAGAAATGAATAAAATGATAAAATTTCAATTTCAAGCAATTTGATAAAAATTTCCAAATAATAATAATAATAATAATAATTAAGAATATATTATAATTGTTTATAGATATTATCGCGGGTTGATGACGAGAGAGTAAATGTCAAAGGCAGATATCAACGTTTGCATGAAATGAATGAATGTATATGCAAAATACTCGACGGATATATTCATGCAGGCGTGTGCGAGTCTGGGTCTTTGTGGCAAGGACTCGCATCGACGACGCGACGGTTTATTGTGCCGACGACAAACGTTTCAACTTTTAAACACGTGAACGCACACTTGTTTATAGTGAATTTATAATTCAGTCGTTTTTCACATTCTTTTTTCCTGATATCGTACTTTAACATCCTCTATCGCAACATACTATATATATATATATATATATATAAAATTTGATACCGTACCGTTATAGGTAGTACGAGGGATGCATGAGTTAGCGGGACTAAACTTTTCATACAGAAAGTATAGGCCTGCTTACTACTCATACTTCCCTGTCTTTGGCAGAACCATTGGCCACGCACGTATATTAATCGCCATTTTCTTTCCACGCGCCTCCTTTCACTTCCTTCCTTTCTCCAATCAATGCACAGCAAACGCTTTCTACTTCCTTCCGCTTTCTCTCATTCGTTTACTTACTCCCGCCGTGCGGCCCATTTCTTTTCCCCCACGCACGGTTACTCTCGGCGTCCCCACTACTAGCGTAGTGGGCCTCTCTTTCTCGCCGGTCACTTCTTCGTCTTTTAACTTCCCTCATACTTTTCCGCGTGGTTTTTTATATTATAAAAAGTAAATAAAATAAAATAATTTTTATATAATTTATATAAGAAAATTAAGATAGATATATACGTGTATATGTATGGCATGTGTGAAAGAACGTACGTAGTGTGTTTTTTTTGGTATATATATATATATATAAAATTATATTTTGTTATTTTATATATTATTATCTATATAAATATTTAATAATCTATATTAAAGTTATTAGGTTAAGACAAATTTACAGAGAAATAGCGCCGATTGTAACAAGTATCTCATCCTTCCTGCCATTTTTTACTTCCGACGAACTCCTACTTTATAGTCTAGGCGTTCTTCTCAGAGCGAATAGCCTATCCGAACATTTTCCCTTTCTCTCCGCTTTTCCGACCCCCAACAAAGATGCACGGACCCCAAGCGTCCTATTCTCCAAGACACTTCCTCACGCATCCTGTTTCCTGGATACTTGTCACCGCGTAATATTTGTTTAAAACGTCGATTTTGTTAATGTAAACTTATAATTTTTATCGTAAGTATTTTTTATAAAAAATTGTAACTCTTTTAGTTTTTAATTTTTACACTACGAGCGCTATCTTAAAAATATCTGTAGTATTAATTCTCCCGCAATCGAGATGCGCTCATGCGGAGATAAAAGCGTGGGTGCGAGACCACCCATCGTCAGTTGTAATACACTAGCACTCGTTGTATGACTTCTCGATCTTACTTTTCAAGTCCTTGCAAATAAAGAATTTTCTTTAAACGTCCAAGGCGAGTTACTTTTTGCTTACTCTCTGTCTCGCTACAGCGAGTAAGTTTTCTTTGTCACTAACTTTTTGCTTTCTTTCAGCCCGTCAACCTTTGCCGCGGTTCGCCCGTGTGAAAAGACGACGGCCATCTTGGAAAACGGTTTCCTTGGCAACGACACGCGAGTACACTGTGCCGCTGGGAACTTTTCTCGGGCCGGGAGTAAAATCCTGAAGCACCCCGGTGAATAATCCCCGTTGGAACAGAACGAGCGTCCTGTTAGTCAGGAAACTCCCTCTGCCCATCATTAATAATGTATATGTCCATAGATGAAACCAGCCACATTACCCCAGAAGAGTGAAAGGAAACGAGCACGGGATAAGGAACGCGCTCGTAAACGCAGGGAGGACGCACGGGCCATTGTGCGAGAATTTAGGCGCGAACACGCTTTCCCGCCATTGCCCCGAGTACCACGACCTTTGGCCTACTCTACACCAGCCAACTACGAACCTGCCAATTTAGCGCCGCCACTCTTGCCACCGGCCTGCTACCAACCAACCCCTCGAGACAACCTCATCTTTCAGACCAAGGTGGACGAGAATAACAATAATCCTCCGAAGAAGACGTTGCCTGAGGATCAACTTTTCCCTGCTCAAAGAGATGCGTGCTTCCAAAACCTCGATGACACCGCCACCTTACTAGCAGCTTTTGACGCCATATACGAGGCACCTTTAATTGAAACTGAGACCTCTGTGGAGGATTTCTTGGAATTACATCCTAGTCCCATCCTGGTGGAAGAAATTGCCCAACATGCGCCATCTCCAATACACGCAACAACCCCCACCACCGTCTCATCTCTTGAATGGCGTCTAATACCCTTGTGGAAGGGTCCTGCTGCGAAACCACCGACACACAGCGCCGCTGGTTCTAAAGACCCTCGTCTGGGAAGAAACCGCCGGGAAAAGAGAAAGGCATTACACTCTTTGAATACACCGCCGCAAATTGCCCGGAAACTCCGAGCCTACACTGTGACAGACCCCATCTCCACCAACCATAAAGCATCAATTCCAGCGTTACTTAGTCTAAGAATTAATAAACCTTTGTAATTATAAATAAAAACTTATTTATTTACCAAAAAATAAAGTATCAAAACCAAAAAAAAAACCTAAAAAAAAAAGAAATAAACAAAACCAAAACAATCCCACGGTTTGTTCATGCGAGGTGTGGCCGTCCGCTTACGGATTTTTCACCCAAGGTCCGTTCAAGACAGGTGTGGCCACCCCCGTTGACATACCGTCGCCATTTTGTTTCTAGCCTTGAGAATACCTTAAGGCGCAAGAAACCTTTACGCTACACCACCCCGCGTGGGAGTGAGAGAGACTCACCCCGACTACGCCGTCGCCATCTTGTTCCTAGCCTTTGCTCAAACCTTAAGGCCCAGGAAGCCCTGCGTTACTCTCACCGCCATTGGAGTGAGAGAGAGCTACGCTAGTGACGCGGTCGCCATCTTGTTCCTAGCCTTTACTCTCACCGCCATTGGAGTGAGAGAGAGCCACGCTAGTGACGCGGTCGCCATCTTGTTCCTAGCCTTTACTCTCACCGCCATTGGAGTGAGAGAGAGCCACGCTAGTGACACGGTCGCCATCTTGTTCCTAGCCTTTGCTCTCACCGCCATTGGAGTGAGAGAGAGCCACGCTAGTGACGCGGTCGCCATCTTGTTTCCCAGACCTTGCTCACACCTTAAGGTCTAGGAAGCCTTACGTTACTCTCACACTCACATTGGAGTAAGAGAGACCAACGCTCGTGATACAGTCGCCATCTTGGTTCTAGCCCTTGCTCGAACCATTAGGCCCAGGACGCCTACCTCCCCGAGGAAATAAAAGGGACCTAACACGGTGAAACAGTTCCTGATTTCACCGTAACGCTCAACAGCCCTTTCTTTCCGCAATCCGTGCACTTCACGGAATACTCAGTCAACCCTATTTTGTACCTCTCGACGTATGCAATCCCGTATCCCTTTTCCCCTACCTTTGACCTTTCACCTCTCCACACAGTGACTGGTATCAAATTGGCGCCCAACGTGGGGCACGAAATAAGTTTTACACTTATAGGTTCTGATGGATGTCAGAACGGATCCACTAACCTGATGTCTCCAACTCCGAAACGAGCTGTCCAACACACCCCTCCTTCTTCTAATACAGAGAAGAGGACATTACGGAACTTAGCTTGCCGAAGGGCTAACGTGTTATTTCACTCGCCGCCTACTATTCAGCGTGTCTCACACCGTGAACATAACCCCGAAATCAGTGCTAGTCGGCACAACACGATAGTGAACGGTTTACAAACCTTAACCAACACGGAACACCCTGGTTTCGACTCATTGTCAGAATCAAGATCTGAACTTTTAAATAGTTCTTCATCAGCAACATTAGTTCCACCTACTGTACAACTACAGACTCCCCTAAGGGGGGACGTTGAACAAACGAGCCCACCTCTGATCTCTGTAACCACTTCCGGGAGTGATACCTTAAACCCGGTGGCGCCCAACAACACTATTGCTCACCCCACCACTATGGAGAATACAAATAATACTACTGGCTCCCCAGGAACTTCAAGGGGGGGAGGCCAACGTTCATCGAATGATCTTTTGAATTCTCTTATTGTCACCGCCCCTCCGGCATCAGAATCTTCGGGTAGTTCCTCTAGTGAACAAACCCCTACGCCTGCTTTTCCGTTAGCAATGCCTTCTAACCTTTCGTTCAATGACTGGTTGAGCCTGATCCGCGCTTTCCAATCACCAGCGCCCCCTTTTCCCGAATTTAACGGACTAGACCACGAGGACCCGCAAAAGTTCATTGAATCTTGCGAACGCTATTTTCAGGCGGCACGAACAGAAAATGACCAACGCACACAACTCGTAGGTAAAGGCCTCCGGGGTGATTCGCAAAAATGGTGGGCACTTTATAAAAACCTTTCCTTTACCTGGGAGGGTTTCCAGGAGCATTTTCTAAATAAATATTCTGGGCCTACTGTTGTTATGCGACTCCAAGCCTCTTTATACTCTCAAAGGCAGGGAGACAAAGAACCAGTCGCTGTTTTCCTGCAACAAAAATATCTGTTAGCACAACGGCTCAATACAACTTTCTCTGCAGTCGAACTAACAAATCTTTTGTTGGAATCCCTGAAACCGACCCTTCGTCGTCTGGTTCGCCCCACCAATCCTCGGTCTTTTCCAGAACTTTTGGAAAGTGCAATTAAGGCCGAGCAAGACGAAGCAGATTGTGCCCCTCGTAAACCAGCACCATCTAAAGAAGAACCTCAACGTAAAGCTGGACCTGAGGTACCACAATCTAAGCCCCAACGTTTACCCGCTTGCCACTACTGTCCCGAATTTCATTATCATCGAGACTGCCCCGTGTATCAAGCACAAAGAAAACAAAATCTTCCGGAAAACTGGAGAGCTCCGGCGGCCGCGAGTCCCTCAGCGCCCGTCGAACAAATATCCCAGTCCTAAGTGCAATATATTCACTTTCGCAGGATCTACCACGAACTCGGGTACAAATTGGTAGACGAGAAATTGTGGCGGAAATAGATTCCTGTGCCTCTCACAACTTCGTGAGGTTAGCCATCCTTACCGCTCACGAACGTTCCCTCCTCAAACCTGGCCCAACACAGGCTAAGTTAGCCGCAAATGGCGCCACTGTAAACTTACATGGATCTATAAACCTTTCCCCTCAAATCGGGGATCAATGTTATCCAGGAACCTTTTTAGCTTGTAGTGATTTGCGCGCTGACCTCGTGCTAGGTAGAGCTTGGCTTAAAGATCACGATGTCCATCACGAGCATAGGGCTGATTGTCTCTATTTAGGGAAAGAAAATCGAAGGCAAATCTATCTGACACCTCTGCCAGTATCATTATCCGGACCTTCAGAACCCTTACCTTTCGATTTGTCCTCCATTCCTGATGAATATAAAGAACGTTTTCAACAGATACTTAAGTTGTACGAAGCAATTTTCTATAAAGGGGGACCCCTTCGCCAAACTCTGGCAGCATCGCACGAAATTAGGATAGCCAATCCTCGACCTTTCCGAGCAGCACCCAGGCGTTATTCAGAACCAAAGAAGAAATTCATTGACTCCGAAACCCGGGAAATGCTCGCTCAAAACGTTATAGAACCGGTTACTACAGACTATAGTGCAGCTATAGTAGTAGTACCCAAACCTGGAGGGGGATACCGTCTTTGTCTTGATTATCGCCCAGTAAACGATCAAACCGAAGACGCACCGCAAAGTTTACCCCGAATTCATGAAATTCTAAAACATATAGGAACTTCAAAAATATTCTCCACTTTAGATTTTAAAAGTGGCTACTGGCAAATTCCCATGGCCCCTGAATCCAAAAAATACACTGCCTTCTCAACGCCCGATGGAGGCCAATACCAATTTCGGGTAATGCCGTTTGGGCTCAAGAACGCACCCGGCACCTTCCAAAATTTAATGCGCAAGGTCCTAGCTTCATTTTGGGGTGAGTTCTGTATCGCTTACCTTGACGATATTATCATATTCTCAGATACTTGGAAGAATCATCTGAGACATGTAGCTCTAGTCCTTGAGAGAATCCTCACTTTTGGGCTTACATGCACCCCCGCCAAATGTCGTTTCGGACAGGGAAGCTTACCGTATTTAGGACACGTAGTCACGGCCGATGGTAATACAGCACAAACACGTCACATCGATGCCATACAAAATGCTACCCCTCCAACAAACCGAAAGAAACTAGCATCATTTCTAGGAACCTGTAATTGGTTAATGGAATATGTCCCACGTTATGCAGATTTAACTGCGCCCCTCACTAACCTACTGTCACCAAAACGTGTTTATAAATGGACACAAGAACATCAGACTGCGTTTGAAGCCGTCAAAATGGCGTTCAAGCAACCTCAAGTACTGAGTCGACCGGACCCAAACCTTGTGTTTATTTTGCAAGTAGAAAACAGTAATATTGGAATGGGAGCTGTCCTTTTCCAAGAAACCCTAGCAGGAGAGCGAAGAATAATTTCATATTCAAGCGCTAAATTTAGTCCTACAGAGACTCGCTACCCTGTTGATGAGCAAAGTTGTTTAACAATTGTTTGGGCTTTTAAAAAATATCGACCATATCTTGAAGATCGTCCTTTCATTCTACGGACAGATAAAAAAGCACTTACTTGGTTAAACCAATCAAAAACTTCTAGACCAAAGTTAACTCGTTGGCACATTCTTCTCGGGGAATTCAATTATTCACTCGAACATACTCCAAAGAAAAATAGCGAGTTACCAAATGCCCTCTCTACCGATCCTGACCCTCTTGGAGACGTGCCAGGAGACGCTGATCTGGATAGAATGCTATACCCACAGAAAAATGCTTTAGAGGTACCCACAATCAATGCCATCTACGCACCTACGCTACAGGAGGAGATTGCTGACTCTCAACAAGCAGATCCACTTATCAGTCGACAAATGGGTGAGTGGCTAACAATCCAACAAAATGGACCAATTAACGATCGAGAACGAGCTTTTTACGAGGGAAACCGACTAGATGGAAGTGGTTTTTGGAAACGTTGCCCCAGCAATGGGCACTGGCAATTACGGGTTCCAGTCGCCCTAAAACAGCGAGTAGTATGGGAATATCACGACGTTCCTCTAGCCGGACACCCTGGAGTAGAAGAGACTACCCGCAGCATAAAGGAATACTTTTTCTGGCCTAACATGAGCAGGGAAATACGGCGCTATATCTCAAAATGCCACCTCTGTCTTTGCTCGAAGCCCATACACCACCGTGTAGTCGCAGGTCAAAAGCCAAGAAAACCCCATTCTGCATGGGAAACTGTTGCCCTAGACCTTATGGGACCTTATCCTCTAACTACCCGAGGAAACCGATTCATCCTCGTAGTAACGGATTTGTTTACCCGTTGGGTGGAGGCATTCCCTATACGTAATTCAAACGCTTCCACCATTATTAAAATTCTTGAAGACGAGGTCTTTTCTAGATTCGGATACCCGCATCGGATACTAAGTGATAATGGTCCACAATTCCGTAGTAACCTCTGGGCCGAAGCTGGAAAAAATTGGACTTGTACACTATGGACAACCCCTGAGTATCACCCGCAAGCTAATCCAACTGAACGTCGAAATCAAGAGGTCAAGAAGGGTTTACGACTCCGTCTGCACGACGGAAATCAACGAGTTTGGGACCAACAACTCCCCAAACTACTTTTTGGACTACGTCGACGCAGAAACGCCGCTACTGGAGTTACACCTGCACATTTAGTTTTTGGACGAGAAATCAGACGACCAGGAGAATGGCAGTTACAGTATGGTTCTGCACCAGAACAACAAACACCAGTACAACAACGAGAAGCAGCCGCATATAAACATCAAACACAGTATCAAAAGAGATACGCTGGCGTTAACACCGAACCACCGTTCAAAGTAGGAGACCTAGTGTACGCTAAAAATACTCGCCTTTCCAACGCAGCGGAACGTTATAACGCCAGATTAGCCCCAACTCGAACTGGACCTTACCCAGTCCAGGAAATCGTGTCACCAGGCGTCCTCTGGATTCAGAAGGAGGACGGACCTCATAAAGTCTACTCTTCCGAGTTAATACTAGCTCCAAGTCCACACCAACAAACTATATTTTCCGCTCCAACCAAAGAAAAGTCCGATGGAAGGTCGACAGATCCTAAAGGAATGGCAAATAATCCGGACGGATTACTAGTTGATGAGGCTGAACAAGCCCAAGCCACAACCCTTTTAGACCATTCGATAGCCGCGAATCCTAGCTCCACGGTCTGCGACTGCGAGTCGTCACCCTCACTCCAGTCTCGACATAGACCTACCTCTACGTCGACCGACGTAAGGTTAAGCAACAACGAGATAGGAAACAACCGCTGCAGCCCCTCCGATGAGGCGGCAAACACCGACAACAATTCCTTGGATAAGGAAAATATTTCGTCGCCTGCAACTGAACAAGTTCAGGTAACTGTCACACAACCAAACATCGGCCAATCAGCAAACTCCAAAGATCTACATGATAACGTCAGCGGACGCTATCCTCATCGCCAGCGAAACACGGTCACCTACCGAGATGCACGACCGTACACGAAACGCCGGTAAAACAATCTTTTAGCAACAGTATATCCTGAAAAAGGAATCACCATGTAAACATATTAACATAATCGTTTTTTTTATTAGTAATATTATTTTTATTTTTTTTTGTAATCTCTCTGCGAGACCAATGTTTTCCCAAAGGGGGGATTTGATACCGTACCGTTATAGGTAGTACGAGGGATGCATGAGTTAGCGGGACTAAACTTTTCATACAGAAAGTATAGGCCTGCTTACTACTCATACTTCCCTGTCTTTGGCAGAACCATTGGCCACGCACGTATATTAATCGCCATTTTCTTTCCACGCGCCTCCTTTCACTTCCTTCCTTTCTCCAATCAATGCACAGCAAACGCTTTCTACTTCCTTCCGCTTTCTCTCATTCGTTTACTTACTCCCGCCGTGCGGCCCATTTCTTTTCCCCCACGCACGGTTACTCTCGGCGTCCCCACTACTAGCGTAGTGGGCCTCTCTTTCTCGCCGGTCACTTCTTCGTCTTTTAACTTCCCTCATACTTTTCCGCGTGGTTTTTTATATTATAAAAAGTAAATAAAATAAAATAATTTTTATATAATTTATATAAGAAAATTAAGATAGATATATACGTGTATATGTATGGCATGTGTGAAAGAACGTACGTAGTGTGTTTTTTTTGGTATATATATATATATATAAAATTATATTTTGTTATTTTATATATTATTATCTATATAAATATTTAATAATCTATATTAAAGTTATTAGGTTAAGACAAATTTACAGAGAAATAGCGCCGATTGTAACAAGTATCTCATCCTTCCTGCCATTTTTTACTTCCGACGAACTCCTACTTTATAGTCTAGGCGTTCTTCTCAGAGCGAATAGCCTATCCGAACATTTTCCCTTTCTCTCCGCTTTTCCGACCCCCAACAAAGATGCACGGACCCCAAGCGTCCTATTCTCCAAGACACTTCCTCACGCATCCTGTTTCCTGGATACTTGTCACCGCGTAATATTTGTTTAAAACGTCGATTTTGTTAATGTAAACTTATAATTTTTATCGTAAGTATTTTTTATAAAAAATTGTAACTCTTTTAGTTTTTAATTTTTACACTACGAGCGCTATCTTAAAAATATCTGTAGTATTAATTCTCCCGCAATCGAGATGCGCTCATGCGGAGATAAAAGCGTGGGTGCGAGACCACCCATCGTCAGTTGTAATACACTAGCACTCGTTGTATGACTTCTCGATCTTACTTTTCAAGTCCTTGCAAATAAAGAATTTTCTTTAAACGTCCAAGGCGAGTTACTTTTTGCTTACTCTCTGTCTCGCTACAGCGAGTAAGTTTTCTTTGTCACTAACTTTTTGCTTTCTTTCAGCCCGTCAACCTTTGCCGCGGTTCGCCCGTGTGAAAAGACGACGGCCATCTTGGAAAACGGTTTCCTTGGCAACGACACGCGAGTACACTGTGCCGCTGGGAACTTTTCTCGGGCCGGGAGTAAAATCCTGAAGCACCCCGGTGAATAATCCCCGTTGGAACAGAACGAGCGTCCTGTTAGTCAGGAAACTCCCTCTGCCCATCATTAATAATGTATATGTCCATAGATGAAACCAGCCACATTACCCCAGAAGAGTGAAAGGAAACGAGCACGGGATAAGGAACGCGCTCGTAAACGCAGGGAGGACGCACGGGCCATTGTGCGAGAATTTAGGCGCGAACACGCTTTCCCGCCATTGCCCCGAGTACCACGACCTTTGGCCTACTCTACACCAGCCAACTACGAACCTGCCAATTTAGCGCCGCCACTCTTGCCACCGGCCTGCTACCAACCAACCCCTCGAGACAACCTCATCTTTCAGACCAAGGTGGACGAGAATAACAATAATCCTCCGAAGAAGACGTTGCCTGAGGATCAACTTTTCCCTGCTCAAAGAGATGCGTGCTTCCAAAACCTCGATGACACCGCCACCTTACTAGCAGCTTTTGACGCCATATACGAGGCACCTTTAATTGAAACTGAGACCTCTGTGGAGGATTTCTTGGAATTACATCCTAGTCCCATCCTGGTGGAAGAAATTGCCCAACATGCGCCATCTCCAATACACGCAACAACCCCCACCACCGTCTCATCTCTTGAATGGCGTCTAATACCCTTGTGGAAGGGTCCTGCTGCGAAACCACCGACACACAGCGCCGCTGGTTCTAAAGACCCTCGTCTGGGAAGAAACCGCCGGGAAAAGAGAAAGGCATTACACTCTTTGAATACACCGCCGCAAATTGCCCGGAAACTCCGAGCCTACACTGTGACAGACCCCATCTCCACCAACCATAAAGCATCAATTCCAGCGTTACTTAGTCTAAGAATTAATAAACCTTTGTAATTATAAATAAAAACTTATTTATTTACCAAAAAATAAAGTATCAAAACCAAAAAAAAAACCTAAAAAAAAAAGAAATAAACAAAACCAAAACAATCCCACGGTTTGTTCATGCGAGGTGTGGCCGTCCGCTTACGGATTTTTCACCCAAGGTCCGTTCAAGACAGGTGTGGCCACCCCCGTTGACATACCGTCGCCATTTTGTTTCTAGCCTTGAGAATACCTTAAGGCGCAAGAAACCTTTACGCTACACCACCCCGCGTGGGAGTGAGAGAGACTCACCCCGACTACGCCGTCGCCATCTTGTTCCTAGCCTTTGCTCAAACCTTAAGGCCCAGGAAGCCCTGCGTTACTCTCACCGCCATTGGAGTGAGAGAGAGCTACGCTAGTGACGCGGTCGCCATCTTGTTCCTAGCCTTTACTCTCACCGCCATTGGAGTGAGAGAGAGCCACGCTAGTGACGCGGTCGCCATCTTGTTCCTAGCCTTTACTCTCACCGCCATTGGAGTGAGAGAGAGCCACGCTAGTGACACGGTCGCCATCTTGTTCCTAGCCTTTGCTCTCACCGCCATTGGAGTGAGAGAGAGCCACGCTAGTGACGCGGTCGCCATCTTGTTTCCCAGACCTTGCTCACACCTTAAGGTCTAGGAAGCCTTACGTTACTCTCACACTCACATTGGAGTAAGAGAGACCAACGCTCGTGATACAGTCGCCATCTTGGTTCTAGCCCTTGCTCGAACCATTAGGCCCAGGACGCCTACCTCCCCGAGGAAATAAAAGGGACCTAACACGGTGAAACAGTTCCTGATTTCACCGTAACGCTCAACAGCCCTTTCTTTCCGCAATCCGTGCACTTCACGGAATACTCAGTCAACCCTATTTTGTACCTCTCGACGTATGCAATCCCGTATCCCTTTTCCCCTACCTTTGACCTTTCACCTCTCCACACAGTGACTGGTATCAAATTCTCAAATACGATTACAAACAATTTTCACATAACGAAAAATTAATCTTCTGTAAAATCAACAATAAGAAAATATTATCTCCTTTTTAAATCTAAATTAGTAAAAAAAAATCAAAAAACATTAAGTTCAGAGTAATATTATAATATTAATATCAGAGCAAAATATTTGTTTGAAATAAATTTTTTTTTTTTTGATTCAAATAAAAATAGAAATCAAAAATTTCTTTGGCACTCAGAAAAAAGTTTGGTTCGAATACAATTATTTATTCATTACAAACAAAATTTGTTTAATTCAAATAAATATTTTATTTTATCTAAAAAAACGTTTGATTTATTTTAATAAATTTTTCGAATGAAGAAAGAATTTGATTGAAGCAAATAAAATTTTCATTGATTTCAACACAGAAAATTAAAAGACATTAAAATAAGCTGCAATGCTTATTATTTTAATCCAATTTTGCTTATTTTAATACCAAAATGGATTAAAATAAGCAAAATTGGATTAAAATAATAAGCGTTGCAGCTTATTTTAATGCCTTTTAATTTTCTTAACTAAAAATTTGGTTAACAATGCATTTATTTTGGTTGATTCAATTTTTTATATTGCATGAAAGCAACTTTTTAATTATGTATTTAGAAATGAATTTTTATTTTTTAAAAATTACTAATTTTTTATTAATAGAGCCACTATTATTAAATTAGTTATCTTTGACTAATTCAGACTTAGAAAGTCAATAATCATAACTGCGCTCTAATGTTTTATGAATAATCAGCAAAATCCACTGAATATAACCGCTGAGATTTATTGAGATCCGATTCAGCGAAATTGTGCATACTAAATAGAATTAGTAATGATTACCATTTCATCGATATATATATATACATATTAGAGAGTACAAAATTTAAATAAAAAATAAATTAATATAATGTTACTCAAATTGTCGAAAAATGTATAAAATAATACACAATTTTCTTGCACATAAAAATATAAAAATCCAGAAAATAGTGAAAATTAATTTTTCAATTTCGAATATCTAGTTTAAATGCATATAATATTTTATATATTTTTTTTAATAAACAAAATAGATATTTATACAACTCTAATTTTCTAAAAAAAAAAAATAAAATAAATTTAACTCTGTTATTAAACATGAATCATCAAAAGTTTCGCTTGAAAAATAATTCAATAAAAAAGGGGCGAGTTTCTAATGAAATATATAGCATCAACTTATAATTAAAGTAGAAATGTTGATGGGAATAATTTCATTTTGCGTCAGAATCTAATTACTATTACGTTATATATACATATAATATAGTTATGACGTTTGCGCAAGTAGAAACATTTTCAGCGTTATTTGCTTCAAAGAGCTTAACCATTTACCAAAATTACTATTTAACATGCAAATAAAATTTCTAACAAGAGTAAATAACATTTTAGCTAACTATTTCCATAGTATATTTAACATATTTCCTAAAATGAATTATTTCAATTAATTTATTAAACAATTTTCTCGTCAAATAAATTTACTCAGAACCTACGAATATCTATTCACATTACAAATTTTAAAACAAATCTTTTTTTTTTTTTTGAAACTATTAAAAAAAAAATTTACCCAAAACAATATTTTAAAGATTTTTCTTTTTTGAAACAAAAATTATTTATAAAAATTACCAACATTTCAAGAA